AGGCAGAAGGACTTTGGCTTCGTGCATCTGCCGTGGCCCCAGCTTGGGTGACATGGGGGGCCAAGCTCTTAGCAAGTGTTGGTGCACATGATGCCCCAAGCCACTGTCCAAAGATCATGAGTTTAGCGCGGCGCCGCCGAAACGGTGGTGATTGGGCCGTGCAGCGTGGTGCAGCCAATGGGCCAAGGTCTAGACTTGGAAAGTTCGGCATGCTGGAGTACGGCCGGCTGCCAGAGAAGCTCGGCATGGTTGATCATCGCAATCCCTTGAGCACATCCGCCAACCCGAAGTGTGCAACAGCCGCAAATTGCCTGTGCCTGCCTTGTAGGCTGTCTTTGGGCTCTTGCACGAGTATGTGTGTGTGTGTGTGTGTGGTCTTTAGGTGTTTTTGGCGGCAGCATGCTACCTGTTTAAGCCACCGGCTTCCCTCACAACTTGAAACGCTGGCATTCGGTTCTAATCGCACTTTACCCATCTTGCAATAGTGTGGCGTGCCTCGAATGAGTTGGTGCTCATCTTGACCTGAAATCTATCAACATGCACGAGCAATCAGACCGCATCGGATCCCATACAGTCGGGCTTTGAAGGAAGGCAGTCTTGCTGGACATCGGTTGCGGTCAGCTGCGCATCTTCGACCATGGTGAAGGCCACGACGTGGGCTCTCGATTTGTCAGGTTATTAGTCGGCGCAGGTTTCAGAACGGTATTTCAACAGTTTGCCGTCAGCTTGACAACTCGCAAAAAGTATTCGAGGAGCATTCGAGGGCACATTTGGGTTCGATACCTGTTTCGGATTTGTCGGCTTGGAAACGTGTCTACAGGGCTTGTGTCGAGTGAGAAGAGAGCTATAGATAGCTAGGCTTGCGTCGAGGTCGCACTCCCTGGCCTTCGAATCAAAAGCCCACGTTTTTGTTCGTGCGAGATGTTTAGATGTCTGTCAGATGCCAAGCCATACAAGAAGCTGCTGCACTCTGCTGACCTGATTGCTCCTGGTCAGCACAAACAGACCAGGATGTATTCCGTTGTGCTTGCGGAGGCTCCGAGTTTTGTACCCTGAAGCTCAAGGATGTCTGGTCGGACAAGGACTTCGTAGAGGAGTTCTCGTCGGCTGGGCCATGAGTCTTGGATTTCCGAAATTCAGCACTTGAGTTTTCAGGCCTTCAAGCCATCGAGATCTTCTGACCAAGGGGTCGATGCAAGTCGGCAGACTGTTGCCAAGATAGACTTGAACGAAGACTCCACAAGAAGCCAGCCCACCTTTGATAAGCCGCCCGAACTGCATCATTGAAGCCGAAGGCATGTTCGTGACCTGGCAGTTTGAGACGCTTTTCTGGCAGAAGAGCCTGGGTTGCGCTTGGCGTGTTCGTTGTAGGGCTCCGTGTCCAGTAAGTGGCCTTTGGGGGGCGATTTCGCGAAGTTCTGGTGTTGGCTGAGGGACGTGCCCTATGTCCTTGAAAGTTCCATGCAAGTCCAGACCTTAAAGCCAAGCGTCAGCATGCCCAGGTACTACTTCTGTGCAGAGGCACGGATTTCTGGGCATGAAGGTAAGTTGCGGGCTAGGTTTACTTGTAAGCATTCACTTGCTACATGAGCTCTGGGATCAACAGTGAGTTTGCATGAGCTAGCGAGCAGGAATACTTGACCTGGCGGGCGGGTTTCCGTGGTGTTTCTCTTCGCTTGTAACCTTTGATCGTTATCTTCGCCAAAAACAGCAATGGTTGAGGTACAGTAAGGGCATGCTAGCAGCAAGCACTCGATGCACACAAGGCGCTTCTTCAATCCTCGCATGACCTCGTAACAGGTTCTGGTATACAGACGTGCGCATGTGTGTCTCTAGCCCGAGCCACCCCAGAAGTCTCCGATTTCCACACCCTAAACGCTAAACCCTAAACCCCAAACCCTGTAGTTCCAGTACTGCTGGGGGGTGGGCCCGGTGATGTGCTGGTTCACAGTGCCGTCGCGCTCAGTTGCTCAGACTCTGAGACAGCGCCGAGTAAACCCCAAACCCTAACCCCTAAATCTTTTAGCTCGGAGCGGGTGCTTGTGTGCGCGCAGTGCGGGTGGCGAAATCTTTTAGCTTTGTGTTGAGTTTCTCTTTTTGGGCTGGCCCCGTATGATCCACTTTATGTGCTCACTTTAAAGGCACTTCTTCTCCTTCAATCGTCAATTTGCCGGTACTGGTCCCTGCAATGTGGCCTGAGTGTCAGCTAGGCGGGTGGCAAAAAAAACCCTAAACCCTAAACCCTAAACCCCAAACCCGAAACCCTAAACCCTAAACCCTAGACCCCTCCATGAGGCCAAGTCCATGAGGCTCGTGCGCGAGGCCCTGGAGCTGCAGCGGGCGCCCTGCAAGAACTTGGGGCCGGGGCTTGTAACTGTCTGATTCAAAGGGTGAAAATGGTTATCATGGTTATCATGGTTATCATGGGTTCTAATGGTTATAATGGATATAATGGTTATAATGGTTATAAGGGGTTTAATGGCTATATGCTTACGAAGGGTCGTGCATGGTCTGAGGATAATATAGTTTTTAGGGTGCGCAGGGTACGGCCAAGTGAGTCTTTTCTTGCCGCGCAAAACTTATGACTACGTTTATAATATGAATTTTTTAAAGAGTCTTGTTCAGATTCTGCTCGTGTTGGGGCATGTCCGGGCGATAACTACACATGGTATTATGTGCATGCCTGACTAACTTTATGCTTCTTCCTCGTCACTAAGCAGGCAAGACGGAGGTTAGTGGAATTTTGGGGTTTCCCATGCTGGTAGCACCCGACGTTCACTGCCACCCCGCAATCTGCTGACCCAGGCACGCTTCAGCTCCGTTGAGTCTGCCATTCACGATGCACAGGTGCTTCTCAGCAAGTCAGGAACATCTCAGCGGGAGCCTGCAAGAGTCTGCGGGGACCTCCCAAGCTGTCGTACAGTGGAGAACCGAAAGTTCCGGCACACTCGTACTTTACAGACCAACCCTAGACCCAAAAGCCTACACCCGCTTGTGACCCGGCGTGAGGGTGCCCAACCCCAAACCCCAAACCCTAAACCCTAAACCCTCAACCCTAAACCCTAAACCCTTAAACCCTTAAACCCTTAAACGACCGATCCTCCAGGCCCAGGATGCGGAGTCCTTCGAGGCCACGCGTGCTGCCGGCTATCCAGCGCTCGAGCCGAGCGCCCCGGCGAGAGAGGAGCTTGGGTTTTTGGGGGATTTCTCGGAGCTTTTAGGGTTTAGGGTTTGGGGTTTAGGGTTTAGGGTTTAGGGATTTTGGGGCTAGAGTCTTTGTGAGGACGACGAGTAATTATGGCTTGCAGAAGGGTTTGGGATATTGAAGGGTTATGTAGCCTGCAGGGATGCCGTGTGAGCAATGGGCCCCGGCACCGAGATCCGAGCCCAAAGTGTCGAGATTTCTTTTGTTCTCACCACACTTTGTAGTATGTAGAGTGCAGGTATGGATGTTGGGTTTCGGGTGTCAACCCCCCAAGCCCAATGGCCCAAACCCCATGTCCTGCGGTGTGGCATATGCCACAGCATTTGATATTATATATGTTATATATATATATATATATATATTTATATGTTATATATATATATATATGTTGTTAGTTTCAAAAGAAGCTTTAATTTGAAAATACATGCAAATATCAATCTAACTAAATATATGGGTAAAAACAGAAAACATAAATATAGATGTCATTATAAATAAACATATATATATATACATGCGTATACGTTTAATGGGTAAATATGAAACAGCATCTAGCAGCCTAGCTCGACTGCAAGAAACCAAGGCGAGCCGGCGCAATTCTTTGTTGACAGCACGTGGTTCCGGCGGTCCCCCGGTGTTGGAAGCAGCGGTTTAGGGTTTAGGGTTTCGGGTTTAGGGTTTAGGGGTGGTAGCGACCTAGACCTAGACGTGTCGGGGGTCAGGGTTTCGCGCTTGGGGTTGGCGTGTGTTGTTTGGGGCGCGTAATCGGGATCAGAGTACCCCTCGTTATAATCCCTATTACGGACTGTTAGCATTCCGGGGGAACATCCCAACGTCAGCACTTTCACGGGGTGGTCCGGCCGAGGAACTTGTAGGGGCCTTTGACCCGGGTGCTGGCTTCGGAGGTGGCTTGTAGTGACTCCGGGAGTGGAAAAACTGCTTCAACACGTGGACCAAAGCCGCCGTGTACTCTTCTACCCTCCGCTTAAAAGGTTGAACCCTTTCGACGTGAAGAGCTGGACGCCAGACTTGCCGCCAGCACGCGGAGGGGACGCCCGGTCGGTGCATGCAGTCGGGTTTGGGCATTTAGGGCTTACGGTTTCAGCCACGAGAACTGTGGTGCTGGTTGTGTGGGCGTAAATTCCCGGCAGCTGGGCAGTCCTGGGTTTAGGGTCTAGGGTTTGCTACCTCTGCAAAAGTAGGGTGCCCCCCGCCATCAACGTTCCAGACTCAGGACGTGGAGACGCCGCTCCAACGGTGGGCGAACGCCCAGAAATGAGCTGAGCATGGGCGGCAGAGTGATCGTTTTGATGTGTAGGTGATCGTAGGTGCCTAGGCTTGAGCGAGCTTGCGCTCCAATCGGCAAAAAATAGGCGTGAAGCATGCAAGGGCTGCGGGCATGTACTGTTTTGGTTCTCCAGGCGTCTCAGAGTGGTCGGGATTAAGAGAAGACATTGTTCGTACAAAGCATTGCTCAGCAATGCCGGCGCTCTCGCTCACAGGAATCACCCACAAAGGTTCCAGAGCACAAGATCTCTGATCCTCCCTAACCTCCAAGCGCAAAAATCACAGCTTTCTTGTGCCTGCAAGGACTCTGGGTGAGAAAATAAGAGTAAACTTCTGTGCTCTGATAGAGCCTAATCGCAGCCTCATTCGGCCCCCGACTTGATCTAACAAAGGCGACAGCACCCCATCAGCTCATCCCAAACCAGACCCCAGTCAAGCCACCAATAACCACCAAGAAGCAAAATCAACCCTCAACAAAAACTCCTTGGGCACCCTCGAGCGCTCCTGAGCCATGGCCCAAGCATGGCGGGGCGGCGGGTCCTGGGCTGGAGGCCGGGCCGATCGTCCAGGCCGGGCAGGCCGAGGTCGGGGAGGGGCCGCGCCGAACCTGGGCTGAGCTTTCTGAGAGGGTTTTTTCAGTTTCTGAGTAATCTGAGGTGAGGGAGCCTGAAGCCCATAGCTAAAGCACTGAGGATGTAGACGAGCCCTTGGAGCAAGTCCTGTCTCGTTTGGACGACGTGCTGCCCGAGGACGTCCCGGCGCAGATCGCCGCTCTGCGGCAAGTCGCATCGGTGAGAAGCGAGGACCTGCTGGAGGGCTTTTGCTACAAAATCGGAGGGTGGCTACATAGCTATCACAAGGTACTGTAAGTCTAAGTTATTTAAGTAGGAGACTCGATGTGCAAGTGCTGGGTCTGCGAGGACCCTGCCAGGCTGCGGCAGGATATTCGCTTGCAGAAGTGCTTGGACAGACTTGGTGAGCAGATTCAAGAAGTGGATGCACAAGGCCTTTCAGACCTCGCCTGGTCGTATGGGAGGTTGGCTGTACAGCATGGCCCATTGATCCGAAGTCTACGCGCTTGCGTGGAGCTGAGCCCGTAGTCCGAGCCCGAGGAGCTGGTTAACTTGGTGTGGAGGCCTGGGAAACTCGGACGTAAGGATGTTCCGATGCTGGAGGCTTCGTCTGTGCAGGTTCAGCGCAATCTGCCAGCCTTCCGCCTGCAGTGGCTGGTGCGCATGTTTTGGGCCTTTGCAAAAGCTCGCTCTGGTGGGGGCCCGCTGGCTAGTTTACTTGCCACGCAGATCGCGAACGAGAGGGACGATTTCCAGAAGCACGACGCACAAGTGCCGACCAACTTCATTTGGGGTTTAGCTCGCTTTGCAACGCGCGGCGCGCCGGCGTGCGCTGAGACCCTCTACGCCAGCTCGCGGCTTCGGGAGCCTGATGTGCAAGGCATTTCCAACACATCCTGGGCAGTGGCTACCCTCATGTGGCCTGACGTGGCTTTGGCTGCGGCCCTTGCCGCCCGGGCAACGGAGAGGTTGCCATAGCTTCCCCCGCAGAACCCCTCCAACGGAGCTTGAAGTCTCGGCCGGCCGATCTTTCGAGAGGTGCTCTTGCTGGAGGGCACCACTTCGGCGGCCGTAGCAGACATCTCCAGGTTCGACCCACAAGGCTTGGCGAACACTGCCTGGGGTCCAGGCAAGCAGAGCCCTTGAGGCACAGCCTTCTCCACGGCCACCGTGGGGGCTTCGCTTAAGAAGCTTCTGCAACCTGAGCCTCAGAGCCCTGCGAATGTCGCCTGGTCGTGGGCCACGCTGCAGATGCACAGCAAGGCCTTGTCGTGCATGTTGATGTACGTATGTTCCACATGTGTACCATGCGGGTAGCCGGCCTCGCTCTTCTACCATGATCATCATGCAGCTTGGAGGCCCTGCTCGAGGCGGTCCAGGCTCATGCCTTGGCAGTCCTCGAAGAGTTTCAGCCGCTGCCCTTGACCAACCTCTCATGGTCGCCAACAGGTGCGGCGAGCAGCGTAGGCTTGTTTCGTGCAGCTGAAGCATTCTTGTTCGCTTTTGTGGCATTCGCTCACAAGGCCTGCAGTGGAATGGCGAACCCTTTGCCGGCGCAACCGGCTCGAAAGCTCGGAAGCTGATGTGGCAGTACAACCCGCAGCAGGCCAGGAGGGCGGCCGGGTGGGGGGGTGGGAGGGGGGGGGGGGTGGTGTATTCGCATGTCATGCTTCTCGACTCAGGCTGCGAATGCTGCCTGGACGTCTAGCAAGGTGAGCCACGAAGATGCAAAGCTCATGGAAGCGATGAGGGAGTAGGCCCTTCGCGGAATGGATGAGCCCGACAGCTAGAAGCTGGCAAACGTGGCCTGGGCATGGGCGACCCTTCTCGTGCAGAGCATGGCGTCCTCGCAAGCTGCTGCTGGAGCCTCCAGCAAGTTGGTCTCGGAACCCAGGCCGCAGCACTGCGCTAACATGGCCTGGGCTTCCACACGCTTCGTTCACGTGCACGAGACTTTACTCGGCGCAACCTCAACGACCTTCTGCCAGACTGTGCATGAGGCAACTCCGCAGGAGTTGTTCAACATTGGTTGAGGGCATGCCAAAATCGGGTTCACCGTGCAACCGTTGCAGGAGGTCGTCAGCCGAGAGGTTGCCAAAAGCTCCGGGGAGCTGGAGGTGCGGGGCCCCGCAAACCTGGCCTGGTCACTGGCAAGTCTTGGTCAGTTGGGCCGATCCTTGCTGGACCTCTTGGGCTCACAGCTGCGGATTCGCGCAGCGGAGTGCGGCCCACAGGAGACTGGCACCACGGCCTGAGCGCCCGCGACGCCGATGCTGCCGGGTGCCCCGCCTACGCATGCGCTCGGCGGCCGCACATTCCTCATCTTGGAGGTTTCCGAGGCTCAGAACCCCACGAATCTTGTGTGGACTCACGGCACCACGGCACCGCAGCATGATGCGCTTTTCCGCGCGGCTGGTGGACTCTCGGACGGCCACTTTAAGTTACATAGCTGACATAGCTTGTTGCAGCTCTGTAACTCGTTGCGTGTGGGGAAGAGCTGTGCGAGCAAGGAGAGGCTGTTCGGAAGCTTGCCCACTTTCACCCGCAGAACATCTCCAACATGGTTTGGGCGCCCGCGACACTGCTGGCAGGAGTGTTCTGTCTAGGCATCTGAGGCTGCTTTGGCGCCAAGCATAGAGTGGCAGGTCATAGACATAGAATCATACCGAAGCAACTTTGTCGGAGCCTCCAGTTTTATTCCAGGAGGCGAGTCCCTGCTTACAGCCTCGAGTGCAGCGACTCTGCGGTGCCTCAGCCACTGGCCTCTACAGCAGATGATCGCAGCAATAAGTCTTTTAGATCCTCGATGGTTCTCGGAGCTTCCAGGAGCTTTCCGAGAAATGCCGCCGTTCAGGGGCTTCGCATTGCATGGACCCAGGCTGGACATGCGCTAGGTCGGAGTTGTGTGCTTCGACGGTCTGACAGTGCTTGAGGGGTGGGGGTAGGGCAGGGGGGTTCTCACCAAACGAGCCTGAGCCGCAGCAAACCGTTTCCTAAACCATCCCAAACCCCACAAGGGCTGGCATCCTTCCCCAAGGCCCCAATGCCCAAAAAAGCCTAAGCGCACTAGCCCATGCTTCCCCTAAAGTACTGAAGCCAAAATGGAGAAAAGGCACACAAAGCTCAACACCCTAAGCTCACAAAACTCCTTGAACTCTGAGCTCTCAGAGAGCCCCTGCGCAGTTTCTGGAACGTTCCCAGGCGAGTCTGGGCCCCAAGCCTTGGCGAACTCCGCCTGGGCTTTTGCGGCAGCAGGCCGTGCCTTCGGGCTCCGTAGCTGGGTCTTGGAAAGGGTTTGGGGGGCCAACAGAGCAGGGCTGCTTTCGGGTTCCGCATTTAGGTTGTTGATGTGTAGGGGAAGCAGCCTGCTGTTCATTGCTGTGGCTTGAGTGGTCTTCGGTCTGAGTTTTGAGAGGCTTGGAGCTCAGGAGCAGGCATACCTGCTCGTGAGCCTCCTTGCATCATTTGCTGTGCCCCTGCTGCCTTATCGATAGACAAAGCACGGAGCGCATCCAGTGCTGCAGAACCGACACAGCCGAAACATGCAGCTCGTCCCTCCCCACCTAGGACCTAAGCTTGTTACAGCCAGAAACAGACGTGGCGGATCCCCCATTCTTGTGGTGTTGAGTCGAGACCCAGTGCAACTTGCTTGCGCCTCAATCGCCAAGCCTGCATCCCCAACTTTCCGGGCTGAAGCCCTGAAGGTCTCGTGGGCACCGTCCTATTCGATGCCCTTGCAAGCGAGGCTCTGGATTGAGAGGTTCAGTTGGCTTTCGTGTTCCAGACTCTCTGGAATGGAGAGTGGCCCGACAGCTCATGCCCGAGTCTTGCATGCCCCCAAACCTTCCCATGCTAAAGACCCTCACATCCTAAACCCTAAACTACACTCCCATGCTCCCCAACCCAAGCTCGCTCGGAAGGCCCTAGCCCAGTTGCCGGAGCTCGGCGCGCAGGCCACCGTGGGGAAGGGCCGCAATCCTCCTCTAACCCCCAGCTTCTTTTGCTTGCCGAGAAGTTGGTTGGCACCATCGCAGCTGGCAACTTTATAGCGGAAACTGGATGGGAGTTTTCATTCCGACAAAGTTCCGAAACCCTCGTCTGAACCAGCCCTCAACGCTACGTCGCTACGCGCCCTAGCCGCCCCGACGCAAGCATTCTGGCCGTAATCTCTTGCAATTGCCGGCCCCTTTCTTCCTGCCCAACGAGGCGCCTGCCAACAGCGCCTGGACTGCAGCCGTGCTACTTGGCTTTGGCATGCTTCAGCTGAAGGCCCACCCCCCCGCCTTGCATGCATTTCCAGCCCCTCAGCTTCCGTTTGAAGCCCGACACCTGCTAAGCTTTAGACCTTCGTAGACCGACAGTGTCAAGTCCTGTGTTTGTGTGCTCTTTCAAGAGATCTTGGGCTGCTCTTTCAAGAGATCTTGGGCTGCGGACGGCAACGGTCGAAGCAAAACACCGAGGACTGCACTTGTGGGCCAACGCTTGTCAAGTGGCATCGGGCACTACGCGCAGGCGGGGTATGTTCAGGAGGTTTGTGGACGTTGTCGCAGGTGCATGAAAAAAGGATCACGCCAAGACCCGACTTGAAATCTCGAATGCCCTGGGTGTACCGTCAGCAAGACAGGGCTCGCGCAACAGCGAACAAGCGCTGGCGGTCATTTTCTGGAGCGTATTTTGTTTCCGCTGCAGCCCCCTACTTAAATCCTTAACTGGTGACTCGAAGCCCCCACTGAAGCCTCCTGCTAGGGAATGCAACAGAATGAGCAGGTAAACCCAAACATTGCTTGCGGAGTCCAGATGGAAAAAAGGGGCCCAGGGACTCGTGGAGTTTTGTAAGGCTAAAAACCCCCTGAAAGCCCTCCCCTTCTCCCACAGGTGCGCCTCCCCGACTTCGGTCAGCAGCAGCCAGCCAACAGCGCCTGGGCCTTCGCCACGGCGGCGCGCATGGAGTACCCGCTGACGGGCCTGGGGCCCAAGCCTTGCTGGGCTGGTGTTTGTTTGTGTGTGTGTGTTTTTTTTGTAGGGGTTCAAGAGAAGAGGGTTTATTTTGGGGGCTTGTAGTGTACGGTTTACAAGGGTCTGGGAAGAGTGGAGATGTAGAAGTCCCGGGCTCCAGGATTTCACAGACTCCACTCAGGAGCCGCCTCCGGGGCGGTTTTCGCTGCAGCTTCCGGGCGGCGGCCGCAGGCCCCGGCCAACGGCGCCTGGGACCCCGGCCGCTGGGCCGAGTTTCATCCTTTATAAGATATAAGTATATGTATCTATATATATATATATATATATATATGCAAACAGGGATATATACATAGGCATATGCAACCAGTACTTGGGTTCTTGGAGGCGTGTCAGTCAAGGCTGGGGTCGTGTTTTCACGTGCAACTCGGCCCCCAAGACTTGACCCAACGTCCAGATCGTAGAGCTCTTGCAGGCAAGCTCGGCCTACGAAGCAAGGCGGCCATGGAGACGCCAGCGGCTGCTGCTGCCCAGACGCCGCCCGGTTGCGCACATTGCGGTTGTGCATTTGGGGGTCCTGATTGTAGGGCAGGCCCCTCACCCGAAACCCTAAACCCCAAACCCTAAACCTAGAGAACTGACCCTTGAGGCTGGGCATTCTTCGCAAGCCCCATGCGCGGCCCAAAGCACCCAGCCCGGCACAAGACCCTAAAATCCTAAACCCTCAGCCCTAAGCCGCTGTGGTTTAGGGTTTAGGGTTTAGGTTTTAGAGATTAGGGTTTCGGGCTACCATTTGCTTAAGAACCTCGCAAGAAATAAAGGCTTTCTTCCTTGCAAGGGCAGTCTATGGACTACTGTTCTTCATCCTAAACCCTAAACCCTAAACCCTAAACCCTGATTCTTCAGCAAATAGTGATGGACATGGTGGACACCTCAAGCCGGGGCCAAACCAGGATCGAAAGTTCTGCTGCCCTAAACCCGAAACCCAAAACCTTAAAGCAGAAACCTTAAAACCCTAAACCTAAACCCTAAACCCTCAACCCTTAACCCTGAACCCTAAACCCGAAGCCCTGAACCCTCACCCGCCTCATCAAAACCGAGTGCTTGTCAGAGTCTTAAAAGCTTTCTGAGCTCCCAGGATCGGCCAACTCGATCCGCAGAACCTCTCCAACACTGCCTGGGCACCAGCGAAGTCAGGAACGATTCAGGCCGGTCCTTGCCCGGGGGGGTTAGGGTTTAGGGTTCAGGGTTAGGGTTAGGGTTTAGGGTTTAGGGTTTAGGGTTTAGGGTTTAGGGTTTGGGGTTTAGGGTTTAGGGTTTAGGGTTTAGGGTTTAGGGTTTAGGGTTTAGGGTTTAAGGTGCACAAGAAGGTGTGCAGGACTCACAAGCTCGTTAAACCCCAGGAGCCGCCGCCCGACGCCACAGCGGCCACTGCCCTGCAGAGAGCCACCTCCCTGGGGCCGCGGGAGCTGGCAGGCTACGGAGGGTTTAGGGTTTAGGGTTTAGGGTTTAGGGTTTAGGGTTTAGGGTTTAGGGTTTAGGGTCCGGATGCAAAAAGGGTTTAGGGTTTACTGTAGGGTTTAGGGTTTAGGGTTTAAGTGGGTTTGGGCAGGCGGTCGTGTAGCGCGCGTGCGCATCTCGTGAGACGTACTCGTAGGCCGGTAGACCAGAACATGTCAGAAGCTTTCAACTCCGACTTGTCTGGAAAAGTTGCATGTTCTTTGTGGTGCAGCCAGTAGCATGCAAACAACGCTACGGTGGCTTTGAAAGCTGGTGGAGAGACTGTCCAGGCTTGGTTTGGGCT